ATATCGGAAAATAAATTAAATTTTAAGACACTGTAACATTGGGTAGGTGCAGTCGGTTTCTTCCATTTTTGTACATATGTTGCAGAGTCACCTATAGAATATGCTTTCAAAATTTTATACATTTATTTTTATACACATAGTTTACCAGTATTAACCGAAAACCCAACTTTCCTTTTGAAAAGCAGAGAAGCTCTCAGTTTACGTGATGTCGTTGTTGTGTGCTTTGGTTCATTTGTGTGCAAGAACTTCCTATGTTTCTGCCAAATATCAAGGCGAGAGCTTCATTTTTGCGGGCAGGACAATGTTTACATCAGACAGCCAGACACACATGTTTAATTATAGCTCCCATCCTTCTATAATGGATATAAAAATTAATATATAAAGCTAGTAGAATAGTTCCATAACAAATCAAATTGGAAAATAAAACATGATCCACACAAAAAAGGTGTATAATGATGGAGTAGTGAAGAACCGAAAAAAGCGTAAGTTTATAGAGTGTATGTGAAGCTTTAGCTAAAATTTAAAGGCAGGATAAACTAGGTAGTGCATTGCAAGTTGAAAATTTATTAAATCATGTATACATCTAGGCTGATAAAGATTTTCCCGAAGCAACAACCGACACATAGTGCACAAAGTGGAATTTCGATCAATGGATCGAAGCAAGTAAGAAGATTTCGAGTTCATTAAGATGCTGGCTGCCCAAGATCCTCTCTCTAAGGATTTATTGAAAAAAATATATCGCCTTTGTTTGTTCGAATGAAAAATTCTTTTGTCAAGTGACGAAGTTGCTTTATTTCAACTTCTTGTGAAATAGGAAATCATTATATAGAAGAACAATATGTTCTCCAGTTTTAACCAAATTTTATTCGAAATTTGACTCACACTTCTCTCCAACGTTTAAATCATCGCATCTATAGTGTGTTAAAAAATATTAATACCAGGGATTACTTTAATAAACTTAATATTTGTACAACTGCCTACTTGTGGTTCTTTATCATAATTTGATTAAATTATTCATTGAATTGATATATATATATATATATGTATATATATAGCGCGGTATTCTTTTGCTTCGCAACGATATATATAAATATTTAAAAAACATTTTCAATCACATTAAAAGCGTAGTACAGTAAAAACACAGAAGTCAACAATGCATTTATTATTAAGAGGAGCAATTTTTTGTTTATATTTGTGGGGAATTGCATTACACGTAAGGCATGTTCGGGCAAAGGCTGCGAAAAAACCCGTCGACGAATCCCAGGAAAACAATGAAGATTTCGCAATAATTACTTCCTAATTATCCAAAGATTTTCTTAACCATTTAACAAAATATTAAAAGATAGGATGAAGCAGAAAATGAACTGCGTTTAAAGCTTTTACATTGAATCCTCAAAATATGCTAGTTTTTACTTCATATAAATAAAATGATTTAAGTATGCGTTACGTTGTTTTACTTATTCTATCACTAAGAGGAAAAATTCTTTTTGCTAAAGAAATTCAGATTAGAAAAAACCCTCCTTAGCCATGCTGGACTTTATGACATGTGTATATATATGTATGTGTATATATCGGGGTCTTCCATTGAAGTTCATGGGCCGAACGCGAACATAGGTAGGGTACAATACAAAATGATCCCGGACTTATTATCTGCCCACTCGGCAAGTAGGCTTCGTCCATCCGTTTAATCCTATACGGTAAACCACGTGGGTTTCTTTTAGTTATAACCGTCTGTTGAGTGTCCGTTGGGCAAATCCCCTCTTATCTAAAGAACTAGTTACCTCAGCAAATACACGTGCGTCCGTCTCTACAGCCGCCGATTCTGGCGCTTAAGCGTAGCTCTAAAAATAATATAGACAGGCTCAGAACGCAGAGAAGTAATCTTTATGGTTATGGAATTTTAAAGGAATAACGATCAGAAACGTGTTTAACTATAGATGTTTGTGGATAATATTCTCTATTCTGTGGTTTGTCAAAATTCATTCGAAGGCAAGCAACAATGCTACAAATCTATTTTGGTTATTGAACAAGGTATGAGCGGTGCGTGTGCTCTTTAGCAACGCAGGAGAGGTGGAATGTATTGCACTGTATCAAGGGCATCGTCCTTCCTAAAGAAAGTTAAGAGCTATGGCAAATGTCTCATGATGTTCATCATGAATTTGATCCTTACCTATCCTGCTATGCTTTCGTGTTATCTGCTCGGTGCTAGTTTGAAGAACCTGAAATAATTTTTTATATCTGCCTCGGGATACATCTAATAATCAGCATAATTTGAATTACCGCCTTCGACCATGATGGCCTACATATGCTAACAGATAATTAATTTTGAAATCATTATTCCTTCGCTCTTTTTGTGTGTAAGTGTTTAGTATAACGTATGCTACTTATGCATACACGAGATTATTTTTTTTTCCGGCAGCAAGCGAAACCACTTTATTTACCTTGTTCTCCGTGAGAGTTATCATAATGAATTTCTATTACATTTGGCTCCTGTTTTGCGGGCCATTGGATGACTTACCTGCATGTTTTGGTAGGAATTGCCCGGGAAAGATATTTTAATAAAAACTTTCATCTTTATAGATATTTGAAAAAATGCATATATCAGAAAACGGATGAATGAGAAGGAAAGTGTCTGCTATTAAAACCGGATTCAACGAGAAGATGTTACCAATTTTTTTTTTTTTTCCTTTTTTTTTGATAAAGCGACTTTTACTTTGGCAAGGAACTGAACTGAAACCACGGCACCCGTTTTCGGTTTTAAAAATTTACCGTAAGGAAGCCAACTTGTCTAGATGACGTAGATTGTTTTTAAATGATATAACCCAGCATATATATACGTATTTTTTTTTTGGGACACCCACTTCCATTTTGATGCAAAATGAAAGTGGGTAATTTTTGAATACTTCAAAAATACATGCAAAACAAATGAGAACGAATATATGCTTATTCTCTAAATCGGCACAATAC